ACTGACTTCAATAAAATTAGAGCAGGGGTAGGCAGGGGAGGGTCTGATCAGATTCCATCTACTGACTTCAATAAACCTAGATCAGGGGTTGGCAACCTTGGCTCTTTTACGACTGGTGGACTTCAACTCCCAGAATTCCTGAGCCAGCCATGCTGAGGGGAAAGGCAGAGGTTGCCATGCTGGCTCAGGAATTCTGGGAGTTGAAGTCCACCAGTCATAAAAGAGCCAAGGATGCCTACCCCTGAGCTAGATGTTAACCGATCTCATGGTGCTTTGAACGCAGGTGCCTCTGACAAGTACCAACTACAAAAATTGTATAGTAATGTGGTTTCATCTAAATAAGCCATGGCAGGAACTACATCTACTATGCCTGGTTCAGAAAGCTCTGGATTTGCAGTGCAAATAATCCCTACCAGCATCAGGCAGATATACTTGGTGATAGAGATGAAAAGGTGGGCGGGCAGAGTTAAGGAGGAGGAGAAGAGAAGCAAAGGGAATAGAGGGGAGGAGAAGAGAAAGGAAAAAAGGAGGAGGAGGAGGAGGAGGAATATTCTGAATCTGCTTCTCCAACCCAACCCTCTTTGGTCTTAGCCATCTATAGCAGTGGTTCTCAACCTGTGGGTCGGGACCCCATTTGGGGTCGAACGACCACTTCACGCAGTGCGACATTTTTTTCCCCCTTTTCCTTAGCTGTGCTACTCCCTTTTATTCTATTGGCTTTTGAAAGCCAATAGAATAGACTCTCTTGAATAGAGTCTAATTCTATTGGCTTTCAAAAGCCAATAGGAATTGTCCAGGCTGTCTCTGCCCTGCTGAGCCCGCCAAAAGTCCCAGTCTGCAAACGGTGCTGCACCAGCTGAGTAGTCCTCGACTTACGACCGGTTGGGGTCGCGGCATTAAAAAGGTTGAGAACCACTGGTCTATAGGTTAAAGAAGGCAACACTAAGGTGCTTATAGGATTATTAGTCAGCAGATAGGAGAAAAAATGTCTGCATTTTCAAAAACCTGTGGTGTACGTGCATTCAACAAGGAAGTTCCTGGTGTTGACAAGCGTCAATGGATTCAAACTAGCTTTCTACATGTCCCTTTGTTTTTCAAGACCAAGAATTCAGTGAGCCTGACCAAAAATATTTCACTACTGTACTCCAAATTGCCTCCAGACGCTAATGCTGTAATTAAAGGAGCCTAAGCACCAGCACAGGAAATCCTCAAAATATCACACAGAAGCACAGAAAAGTCAACATTATCCTTACACATACATAAGATTAGAGCTAAAAGAACTCCAGAGGCTTAAAAAAAAAAAAAGAACATCTTGTGATTTTTGACAGAGATCAAGTGCTTACAATATAAATGTGACGTTCCAAGGGAAAGTACATTACTGTCCTACACACACACACACACACACACACACCCTGCACACAGTTCTGTAACATTCACATTCAAGGACCTGAACCAAAACAACGACGACGACAAAATGCTATCCTTTTCTAAAACTCATTTAGGCAGCCTGACTTTCTGAAACAAAACCCGGGTTTTTTTGCAACATTACACTTCCAAAATAGTTAATAATGCACCATCCCAACTATTGGCGTATCAGTTTTGTTTAGGACCCAATGAAAATGGGAAAAAAATGGAAAATATTGCTAGTTATGATAGAGTATGCCTCATCGTTAGGAGTGGAAAATTTTTACCACCAGGACATTTGTATCAACCAGCAGTCTACCACTTTTCCGCTTCTATTCCACATGCTTGTGAAAAGAGTGTTCACTCCTGGGACATTTTAGGCAAAAAATGAAATAAAATAAAATCCAGAAGACAATGGCAAACTGCTTCTGTAGGGTCTTCCTAGAAAAACTATGTGGATAAACCCAAGAGGTTACCAAGAATTAAACATATCACAAAGGACGCTCTCTATCTTTTAAGAAAAGATATATACGTATTCTAATTATCTCAATAAAAACAAACAGTTTAATGGAGCTTTCTATAGTACAGGTAGTCTTCGACTCACAACCACAGTTGAGCCCAAAATTTCTGTCGTTAAGCGAGACAGTTGTTAAGTGAGTTTTGCCCCATTTTACAACCTTTCTTGCTTCAGCTGTTAAGTGAATCACCGCAGTAGTTAAATTAGCAACACAGTTGTTAAGTGAGCCTGACTTCCCCACTGAGTTTGCTTCATCACGTGACCCTATGACACTGCCACCATCATAAATAGGAGTCAGGTGCCTAGCATTTGAATTTTAACCACGTGACCATGGGCATGCTGACCGGCCGTGTGAAAAATGGTCATAAGTCACTTTTTTCAGCGCTGTTGTAATTTTGGTCACTAAATGAACTGTTGTAAGTCAAGGACTACCTGTGGAAATTATAAAAAAAGATAGGCAAAAAGAATAATGACCACTGAAACATCACCAGAACATGTGACTACACCAGGGGTAGGCAACCTTGGCTCTTTTATGACTCGTGGACTTCAGCTCCCAGAATTCCTGAGTGGAAATCTCTCCCTTTCCCCTCAGCATGGCTGGCTCAGGAATTCTGGGGATTGAAGTCCACGAGTCATAAAAGAGCCAGGGTTGCCTACCCCTGGATTACACTGTCCAACCGTATCATATTTCCCTAAGCCACAGAGTCACTGTTCCCACTCTTACATCATTCATGTGCAATTCCTTTGCTAAATAAGGACATCAGTAACCATAGACCAGTGATGGCAAACCTTTGAGAGACCGAGTGCCCAAACTGCAACCCAAAACCCACTTATGTATCATCGAGTGCCGGGTGGGTGTGGCCCATTGGCTGGGTGTGACCAATTGGCTGGGCGTGGCCAATTGGCTGGGCATGGCTGCAGTGGTAACGGCAGACTGGGTGGGATTAAAAAGTTCAATCAATCAATTCCAACTTTGCAAGAACCATGAGAAGTTGAAATTGACTGATTGAACCTTTTTTTTTTTTTTTTGCACGCAGCGGCGGAGGCCTAAAGCCAAAAGGTTTTATAAAACCCAGCTGAAGGCCTAGGACTGGGGCGATGGCACACGTGCCCACAGAGAGGGCTCTGCGTGCCACCTCTGGCACCCGTGCCATAGGTTCGCCACCACTGCCATAGACTAAGTTATTGAAAGATTATACATAGACACACGTATACACACCAAACTGGAACCTATTAAAACATTAATGCAGCATTATTTTTATTATTATAATCTCAAAGATCTGAATTCGTGACAATCAAGACGTTCTGCGGTTGAGTTTGCCATAACCATTCACGTTATGGATTTTTACGATACAACCAAACACTCAGGATGTTATTTACATTAACACAAAGGGAAAGTAGCCTCCAAAGCCTGGAAGTAACAACAAAATTTCTCCAGTCCTTTTGTCAGGAAGCCTTTCTCAAAAATGAATAATTTAATGGCTAAAAATGTGCATTTATTGATATTTTAGAAAACCAGATAATTAGGATGTTTAAAAACAAGAAACCTCTTCATTTAGTGCCTGGGAAGTTTTATTTTTCCTTGTCATGTGTTACATAAAACATACAGCACTTCTTTATTGGCTGGGAAGTAATGTAAAATTAATATTGCCAATATTTGGGGTTTTTAATTTTTTTAAAAAATGTCCACTTTTACCGTGGCCTGATTCAGGTGAGCTAAATAAATAAATAAATAAATAAATATATATATATATATATATATATATATATATATATATATATATATATATATATATATATAAAAAACAGATGTCAGCAACCTTATTACCTTCTCTGAAAACCTGAACAATCCTGAACTGACACTTTTGGGAAAACTCATGATCCTGTCACTGTAGCACAGTGGTTCTCAACCTTTTTAATGCCGCGACCCCCAACCGGTTATACGTCGAGGACTACTCAACCGGTCGTAAGTCGAGGACTACTCAACTGGTGCAGCACCGTTTGCAGAATGGGACTTTTGGTGGGCTCAGCAGGGTACAGACAGCCTGGACAATTCCTATTGGCTTTCGAAAGCCAATAGAATTAGACTCTATTCAAAAGAGTCTATTCTATTGGCTTTCAAAAGCCAACAGAATAAAAGGGAGTAGCACAGCTAAGGAAAAGGGGAAAAAAATGGCGGACTGCGTTGTTTGGCGACCCCCGTGAAATGGTCGTTCGACCCCAAATGGGGTCCCAACCCACAGGTTGAGAACCACGGCTGTAGCAGCTACAATTTTTAGTGTATGGAGATGTGCCAATTTGCCTCCTCCTTTTATGACTTACTCAATAAATGACTGTTTTCTAGTAATTGGCTGCTTTTTTAATTAACTGCTGTACAGTTAAGTCAGCTTTTAGTATTTTGTTATGTATCCTCTTAAATAGGATTTTTGTACTCTGCAACGGTAGTCCTGATTAGTCATGGGGTTTGAAGCCTTTTCAGCAGAAAAGTGCCCAATAAAATCAAATGCAAATAATGATTTACTGTTAGTGGAGTGCAAAGGTCTCTCTCTCTCTCAATTGCCTCCAATTCAGGATACTTCATGAGAATGATTTGAATGAAACATTCTGCAAAATCCTAACGACTGCAAAAGGAGCAAAGCACCTAATCTCTATTTAAGGTAACTGCCTTAGATTTGAAGTCATTTGAGCTGTGGTGCCAGAGAAGGCCTCCTGCTTATTCCTTGGACAGCAGGGGTGACTAACAAGCGTGGCACTAAAAGGCAAAAAATCACAAAACTGCGTCTCACTTATTTTGGCCATGTTCCCGAGGGGGGTGGGGTGGGGGGAGGGCAGGAAGCAATGACATTTGGAAGAGTTGAAGGGAAAAGGGAACCAGGCTGCCAGAGAACACAGTGGCTGGACACCATGAAAGATGATACCAGCCAGAGCACAGAACAACTCAAAGCAGTGCAAGATCAGAAGATGTGGAGAGACCTGGCCCTCAGAATCGCCAAGAGTCAGACTTGACCGAACGGATAATCATCATCAGTATAATCCAGCCCCAGGAAAAGGTTACTGGGAACAAGAGATCTTTGCTTACCATGCCGCCAAGGATCTTTAGGCTCCACGGCACCAGACACGATGTCTTCATCTGAAGGAAAAGTCACATGCTTTGCCCCGGGCTTCGGCTTCCCCTCATCCACTGGTGGTGAACCCTGATTTAATAGGTCATCTGCTGGTGTGTCCCCACTTGCTGCTTCCAAGCTTAAACAGCAGTTCTGAGAAGAGGACTCAGCTTTGTCAGGCAAATGCTTATTTTGCTCGGAAGCAGACCGTTCCTTGTCCCTAAGGCCTTCTTGAGCAGTCGTCCCAAGAGGTTCTGCAACCAAAGAGGTGTGGTTGCCGTCAGCCGCTTCGTTGACCAATGACCGTTCCTGCTGATGGTTCAAAGTCTCCAACGGTTTCAAGTCCTCCTCTGCCCCATCACAACTCTCCTTTAAAGGGTCCTCCTTTAAAGAACACGCAGTACAACGCTCTACAGTATCTCTGACACAAAGATGATCCTGCTGGGAGGGAAGACTCTCTGTACTGTTGGAACAAAACTCCTTAGTGTCTTGAAAGGTCTTCTTGCCATCTTGGCTATTGCTCAGTTGGGAAGCAGCCCAGGGGTCAGAGCCCCCCAAAAGTGTCCCCTCTTCCTTCTGCACAGCAGGAGCGGGCAGGAGCAGCAGCACACGGTCCCCCTCAACAGCTTTGCCTTGTTGCTGCACAGGTGAAACCTGCACACACTCCATAGCCAAGCAGGTGAGATGGGTGTCTGACAAAGAGGGAGCTCCTTCTTCCCTTCTCATGAGTCCTTTGGAGTCATTACTCAGGAACAGAACTCACCTTTTTTCCTTCCTATCTTTTTGCTACCCACCCCTTCAGGAAAGGGGGGGGGAAGAAGCTCTCACGTTTTCCAGGCCTTCTCCTTATAAGCAGTAATGAAGAGAGGCTGAGGTCTTGTTGAACTAAAGGAAGCTGCTACATGAAGCATGAGTGAAGATTAAAAGAAACTGGGGACAGGGGAGGAGGGTAAAGAGAAAGATTGCAAGGGTAAAGTAAGACCCTCCTTTGAGATTAGAAGGAAGTGCCTGTTAGGAAAGACACAGCATCTAGGGAACAATCTGGATTGGGGAGAGGGATGAATTATGGGGAGCTGAGGATAATTAATGGGTCCCAGCAATCCCCTTCTAAAAGAAAACCATTCGGTTTCGTTGCCCTTCCCAGGAGAAAAGGACCAGGTAGGGCGTGCATAAGCCGGAAATGCATCGGACTAAATAACCGGACGATAAAACACGTCTCACAGCAGCTCTCCCACAGAGCAAAAGGAAAGTTTACACAAGCGCCAACCGCAAGGCCCACAAAATAAATAAGCCGCAGCTGACAGAAGTCCAATAAAAGCACCACGAGGGTCCGCTCTTGGTGCAGAAAAGATTTAAAAATAATAATAATAATGGGGTGGGTGGGAAGAGATACTTTTTGCAGAAGCATGCACGTGCAATTTGACTCCTGCAAGGAAAAGCTGGAGGGAATTATTCTCCCCCCCCCAGGTATGGAGTCAGTTTTTGGGCGAGAGGAAGAGAGAAATATATATTTTAAAAAAGGGTTACCGTCCCCTGGGTGGGGAGGGGGAGAAGGAAGGGAGGTCTCTGGGGAGGCGCAGAGAAGGAACCTCTCCAGGTATAAGCAAGCAGGAGCTCCGGGAGCAGCCAGGCGAAGGAAGGAGCGCTTCCTATTCGGGCTTTCCTCCCAGGCGCGGAGCCTCGGGAACCCCTTCCCCACTTCCTTCGGGACGAGGCGGGCGGCGGCAGGAGAGAGGCCGCCGGGTTGAAATACGCACCCGGAGGAGCAGCGGAGCGCCGGGACTCGGGGGAGGCAGGAGGGCGGGCAAGCGGGAGGCCAAAGCCGCTCACGAGGTAGGGAACGGCGGAGGAGCAGCCGCTGCGCGAGGCGACTAAGGCCCGCCGCCGCCTCAGCCAGGTGCGGACGCGAAAGAAGCCGCCTCTCCCCGCTGCCGCCGCCGCCGCCGCCGCCGCCAGGACTAAGTGCGCTTGCGGCCTGCGCATCGGCCGACGCACTTTCGACACCGCGTTAGCCGGGTGGCTCGGCTTTCGTTCCCGCTCGTCTCCTCTAAGCCAGCTGCGGTCCTAGGATCCCGAGTCACGTAGTCGGACTCCCACGCCCGGCTTCCCCGAGGAGGGTCCCACGCTTATTTTATTTCCCCCCCCCCGAGTTTGGCGAATCAGCGAGTAGGTTTTGCGAGCTAGCGCGCGGACCTATCTCCCCCTCCCGCCGCCGCTGCTGCTGGCTGGCCTCCCGCGCTCGCCCCCTCCCCTCCCGACTCCAGGAGTGAAAGCGCCTGGTTTGGGTTTCGGTTCCGCACTTTCGCTTTTTCCGCAGGGCGTCTGAGGAAAGACAGCCCCGTCGAATCCCACCGCGGGTGGCTCTAGAGTGAAAGCGAATTTTAAAAACGTAACATTCAAAAAGAAAGTACGGGGGTGGGGGAAAACCGAAAGAGGATCCCGAATGTGCCGATAGGGGAAGCGGACTGAACCAAACAAAAAACACCGCCTGACTCTGACGAAAAGCTCACGCTCTCTCACCTCACTCTCCCAAGGCTACGCAGGGAGGGGGAGATAAATAAATAAATGACGCATGCGCCTTGCTCGTCCCCCAGCTCCTTGGTCCAAAGTCATAGATTTGGCAGTCCTCCTCTGGCCAGAGAGGACAAAGGAAGAGCTTAGTATTTCCGGGCAAAGGGGTCACGTCGCTCTCTTCACTGTTAGGACTTCGCTTTGTGGCGCTTCAGGACGGGCGAATTTGGAGCGGTTATGAGGAGATAGTTCCAGCCAGGCCTGTGCAAGTGAGTTCACGTTAATTAAGGGATTTTTTAAACCGGGAATGCTACTTTTCTGGGCAAGGGGAGGTTGTTAGGGTCCCCAACCAGGCGCCCTCCATAACCCCCCCTTCCCCCGGGCCGACATTAGCCTGCCTTGCCCTGCTGGGCCTTTAATCCCGTCCAGCTCAACATCAACGTAGTTGATTTTCAGCTCCAAGTCTGCTATAAAGGCCAAAAAAGAAACCAAGCCAGGATTAAAAATCATTGTTAGCCCAGAAAAGCTCTTTTTTAAAAACCAGGGTTTCTTAGATAGGAAATTGGGAGTCTTGGTTTGTTTTGTGCCTTCCCCCCCACAAAAACCAAGGGATGTTAGTTTTGTGTTAATCTGGAAAGCTTGCCTTCCACGAATCATGGTTAACATGATGGCTTATTGCCACATGAGAAGTAGCTTCCATCTGGATAGGCAGGTTGAATGAACCACACCTGGCTGGGTTCACACCATTTGCTCCATTATGAACTAGAATGTAGCTTGTTTGGTTTAAGACCGGGGTCTTCATTCTTGGCCCTTTTATGACTTGTGGGACTTCAGCTCCCAGAATTCCTCAGCCAGCGTGCCTGGCTGAGGAATTCTGGGAATTGAAATCCACAAGTCATAAAAGGGCCAAGTTTGAAGACCCCTGGATTAACAGGATGTCTAAGAGCTGTTATTTTTTTCACTGGGTTAGATAGCAGGTGGTTTTGTGTTAAAATGTTGTTACTGTTTCTCAGCTGTCATTAAGACATCTCTGGTTGGTAACGCGTTGCCCAGGAATGGTGGGTTTCCTCAAATTTCCTACACTGGCAAGATGGGCCTGATGTTAGGAGGATTCAAGAAAACTCTTTGTGTTAGATTTCATTTCCTTTCTGACCAGAGAGTAGTAAACCCACCACTCTGTGCCACCTTCTAAGGCCCCATGGGATTGCAGCCAAAATGATCTTTTGATGGGTAAGAAGCTGCATGCAATTGGAGGATTAGATTGTTCTGCCTGTTAAGGAATTTCCATACCAAATATTTGCCTTCGTAATTCTGATTAACACAACATTAACATTTTGACTGGAGAAACTCTCTAAAGCTATGAAACAGATGCAAGTACAGAAAACAAGATGCTATTGAATGAACGTTCCATGGGTATCTGTTAATCTCTCTCTTTAGTTATGTGCATTTGCTGTTTGTTCCAGCATGTCTGTCTGGTTTTAATTTGGCCTGGGGTCTATTACTGTGGTAGGCTTGATACATAATTTCATTTATTATTCATCTAATGGCTGTCAGGTCTACAAGAATATCTAGAGATTCAATAATAACTGAGCCGTGGTGGGCAGGGGTTAGAATGTAGTATTGCAGGCTAACTCTGCCAACTGCCAGAAGTTTGATCCTGAGGGGCTCAAGGTTGACTCAACTTTCCATCCTTATGAGGTCAGTAAAATAAGGACCCAGATTGCTGGGGGCAATATGTTGACTCTGTAAACTAAAGCACTATGAAGGTTTATATAAGTCTTAAGTATTATTGCTATTGCTAATGAGGGGTAGATAATTTCATGCATCCCAGCTGTTTTGAGCTGTAATTTCCATAATCCCTGCTAGATGGAAGTGACAAGTGTTACCTTCAAGATGGTGGTTGACCTATTGTTGCCTTAAAAGATAGCAGGCAAAAAAGAATTATTACTCATTCATGAGATTAATCCCAACTGCCTTGCTGTTTTCAACAGTGGCCTGCAGAGTGTGGCTCCTCTGGGAAGATCCCATTGTAGCAGCCTAGAGCTGTTGCTGATCTTTGGAAATAAATTAATTCTGCAAGGGAAGATTTTATCTAGCTCCTGTCTGTGGTGATGTTGTACTGACCATTCTGATCCTTTTGCAATACAGACCGGACTTTATTGTCCGTCGCCTTTACTGAGAGCCTCCCTTAAAGTTTTAGTAGTGAGAAAAGACAATTCTTTGCTTCTACCGGCACCCGCATCCGTCCACTACCATGTCTTGATAGCTCTTGAGGACCACCATGTCATGCTGGTCTAGGTAAAGCATAGCGATGGGGCTGAGCTCTGTGGGGACGCAGCAGGCCTTGGGCACTTTGGAGTTCACCGAGTTCAGGATGGTCTGCACCACAGCGTGGCTGGAGGAGTTCATGTGGTCGGCCAGTGGAAAGCGGCAGTCCCCGGAGCAGTAGAAAGCGTGGTAGCCACTGGGAGCAATGATCCAGTCATTCCATCCCACCGCCTTGAAGTCCACAAACAGGCGGTGCCTCCTGCACCGTGTGCCGGTTTTAGTCTTTGGCCTCAGGCTCTTGTGCTTCCTCGCGGAGGGTGGGACTTTAGCCGCTCCTCTGCCTCGAATAGGGCGGCTTCTGGTTTGCCTTTTTCTGTGGCTCAGAGGTTGCCCTCTTTGGTCATGGCTATAGGTGACCAGCAAAGGCCTTTTGAGAGCCCACTCAGCCTCCTCCTGGCCGGAAGAGCGTCTTGCCCGAAGGGAAACCGGTGGGTGCGGAAGATGGAGGCTGCTGTTGGAAGGCTGCACCTCAACGAAGAACCCGAGGTTACGCTCCTTCTGTTCTCTTGCTTTCTGGAAAGCAGCCGTCACGTCAAAACTCACCCATTTGGGCTGGCCGGGAGCCACCCATTTGCACGCGAGGAGTCGGCTCTTGTTTGGGGACACAGGCGGGGGATCCACGGCATGATAAACGTTGATGTGGGAGCCGTGGCTTTCCTCAGGGGAGTGAAAGAGACGCAACTCAAGGGCAGTCAGTTCCTCCTCCGACGGCAGCGCGGTGAGGTTGAACAGGAAGTAGAACGAATTTCCTGCACCTTCGGAGACAGGCGCCGAATCCTCTAAATGCGGGGGAAAAAAATGAGGAAAAGTAGGATGGGCAACTCGAATAAAATAACTGCTTTGCTGAAGTTAACAGGAAGTCTCTTGCCCTGTTGCTTATTTCCTTCTCCGGCCAACCAGGTGCGTCTTGGAAGCTTACAAGTGTGACCTTTCTTGTCATTTCTAAGATAGGTCACGCTCAGGTAATCCTCAGTTTACGACCGCAGTGGAGCTCAACATTTCCTTTGCTAAGCAAGACAGTTAAGTGAGTTGTGCCTCATTTTACAACAGGGGTATCAAACTCAATTTCACTGAGGGCCGCATCAGCATTGCGGTTGCCCTGGGGGGGGGGGTGGCCAGAGTGGGTGCGGCCTACTGGGTGGGCATGGATGGAGTGGGTGTGGCCTAATGGGTGGGCGTGGTCAGTTCTACATTATTCGCGTCAAGGGGGCCTGGGCAGGAATGGGACAGATCTGAGCTGAGGAATATTTTAGCTGCTACAATTGGCAGTCAACCAATCTTTTGGGAGACCGTTGCTTTCCTTGCTCCATAGATGGCACCAGAAGCCAAATGAATGGCTTTTAGTCCAGTTCTCACCTCAGCAGTTAAAGCACAAGGCCCCGTTTTCAAGAACATAACAACAACAAAATTACAGCTGCGACTTCCACAGAACTGTTGGGGACGCTAAATGTCTGTGGAGATTCTCAGTCATCCAGGTCGTGGTTGCTCCAATTTTCCTGTCGGGGAAGCGTTTCTAGGGGTCAACCTTGGCAACTTTAAGACTTGTGGACTTCAACTCCCAGAATTCTTCAGCCAGCAAAGCTGGCTGAGGAATTCTGGGAGTTGAAGTCCACAAGTCTTAAAGTTGCCAAGGTTGAGAACCCCTGGTTTACGCATTTGGCTGATTGATCTTTCTAATTTTGGATCCTGATGTTTGGTGGGTCTGCCATGGAATATTTAAAAGAGTTAAAAGAAGTCAGGCTGAGGGTTGGCCTAGCTTGGCATTATCTGCTTGACCAGCTGCAGATTCTCAGGAAGAAAGAGAAGGTTTCACCCTGCCTCTTAAAGCCTTTAGTTTGGAGATTTTCTGGTGATTCACCCCAGGGATCTTTGGCAGGCAAATCTGGACTTGATCCATTGAGCTAAGTCCACCCCACTTTAGCAGCCCCATCAGCCTGGGATGTTTGTGGCTTCTTGCCCGCTCTTTTCACCCTCAGCTCTTTTTAAAGAAAGTTGTATATAAAGAAACTTTTATAAAGTTTTATAATGTGTCGATTCCTGCCAACACCTTAATCTTTGGTCCACAGTTCCCAGAGAGACCCAGACTTTCTCCCCTTTCCTCCCTTAGCCCTGTTAAGATGGGGAATTGAGGAAGAGTCTCACCAACGTGATGGAAGGTGCGCACGGTGTTGGCTGTTGCTGCTCGTGCTTCCAGGAAGGGTGGCTCGCTGTCCTTGGGAGAGGCCAGAGGCTGCCTCAAGCAGAACTGGTATAAATCCAGCAGGTACTGGGGGACCCGTAGTTTGGGCTTCGGGTCTGGGCGCCTTTGCAAACCCAGCCGTTTTAACAGAACGGTTTGGAAGCTTTGGACTGAAAGGCGCTCCGGATCGCGTTTGCCCGTTGGCTCAGCGGTGCCTGGTGATGCCATCTGAAGACAGAAGGCCAGAGGGACGAGGAAGATCACCCAACTAGGCAAGTTACCAGAAACCATTGTGAAACTGGAGGAGACGTTGGGGCAGGTGAGGGAGGAGAGAGAGAGAATTATTGGTAAATATGTAAAATAACCTTTATTGTCACTTTTTTTCTGTGAACACACTGGCACACAAAAAATGAAATTCTGATAGCCACTCTCAAAAGAAAATATATAGAATTCTTTATCGGCCACGTGTGATTTTTGTTTATATCTCACAATGTAGATATAAACAGCAAGTAATAGGTCACATAAATATATATGTATGACCTACCATGTTACTTGCTGTTTATATGTACACTGAGCTCGTGCGTGTGTGTGTATACACACACATACATATACCTGTGCTTGCTCTCTATGTATATACACACAAACACATATACCTGTGCTTGCTCTGTCTCTATATATACACATACACACATATACCCCTAACACAGCTGGCAAAAGTGAGACAGAGCCTGTGGCCTAGAGGTTAATACTGCTGCCTAACATGCAGACAGCCCAGGTTCGAATCTCAGAAGGGTATGTCTGGTTGAAAAGAGCTAAAGAGTTCGAAATAGCTATTCCAGTTCTCCCTTAATTCTTTGCTAGCAATCCAAATTTTAGAAATGTATATGATGTCACAGTTGCGACTGCTGCCTGTGGATGGCTCTAGTTTGAGCTGATACAAGGCAAAAGATTTCTCTCTCCCATATTTGGGTCAACAGGGTGTAACATACAGCATGATAGATAGATAGATAGATAGATAGATAGATAGATAGATAGATAGATAGATAGATAGATAGATAGATAAACATACAGCATTCTAGATAGATAGATAGATAGATAGATAGATAGATACACACATACACACACACACACACACGTACCTGTGCTTGCTCGCTCTCTCTATACACACACACACCACGGTCCATTCTGAATACATAGCAGGAGTCAGATTCATCTAACAATCATGTTACTAATTTAACACTTGCAGTGATTTGCTTAACAACTGTGGCAATGAAACGTCGTAAAATGGATCAAAACTCAGTTGGCAACCGTCTCGCTTAGCAACGGACATTTTGGGTTCAATTACTACTCCCAAATACCAGCTATAACTAAAGAAGCAGCATGGTGTTTGTAGTCCTGCTTTCTTTCTACCTCCCACCCACCTCCCCTGGAGGAGGACTTACTTGCAAAAGTTGAGGTTCTCGGCCAGAATCCATCTTCCTTCCTCCGCTTAATGGCCTTTCCTTTGCCCGCTTGTTCTTCAAGCTTTTCCCGGCTCTTCTGGATCACCCATGGCGGGAAGCCATCTCGGAGACCCCCCTGGGCAGAGCGTTGGCGTTCTCCGTCCACCTTCCTGCCTCGTCCTCTTCGAATGAGAGGAACCAGCTCCCGGCTCGCTTTCAGATTGTCTGGGCTGTGCCGGTCTCCCTGCTCTCAGGATGTGATGTCAGCCAGGCGAGCGGCCGGAGCCAGAACAAACAAGTTGTTGAAAGTTGTTGCTTTTTTGCTCTCCGAAGCAGCCCCAGAGTGGCTCTTTGGCTCTGCTGGAGAAGCCGTATGTGCCATCTCTTGGGCCCAGATAGGGAAGAAGGGGCATTTTTTTAACGCCATCTTGGTAGTTGCCGAGATAGCATCGAGCACAGAACGGGGGGCTGCCTCTTCCCACAATCCCCCTTGGCCAACTTCAGCCTTTCAGGAAGCCTTGCTACACTGGGCTGCATGCAGATGTCATCGTGTGAACATGCCAGGCCTTGAACGCTAGCTGCCACGGCCTGGATTGTGACCCCCAAAAAATGAGTCTGATGGGGAAACATGGTTTTCTTGCAATTGTCTCATTATCCAACTGGGTTACATCACCGGTGCGATCTTTACAGGATTTACAGAGAGCAAATCCTACCTCCTTCTAGCACTGCTGATGTTACCTAGTATGGCAGTGAAACGTCCACAGTCATCGTCCTTGTATTCCACTACCCAAATCCCACTCTCTCCTTGCACTGATGATGTTACCTAGTTTGGTAATGAAACGTCTGCAAGGAAACCACCAAGCTGAGAGAGCGCCAAGGACCCCACAGTCCTCCTCCTTGTATTCCACTACCCAAATCCCACTCTCGCCTTGCACTGATGATGTTACCTAGTTTGGTAATGAAACGTCTGCAAGAAAAGCACCACACTCAGAGAGCGCCAAGGACCCCACAGTCCTCCTCCTTGTATTCCACTACCCAAATCCCACTCTCGCCTTGCACTGATGATGTTACCTAGTTTGGTAATGAAACGTCTGCAAGAAAAGCACCACACTCAGAGAGCACCAGGGACCTCACTGTACGGCTTTTGTCCCATAAACCGAGCAGCTTTTTCACAGGCCTCTGTCTCTGGGTGGGTCTTGCCGCTAGCCCTGCGGAGCATCTCCAAATCAACGCCGCCTTTTCTGTCGAGACCCGCGACTTGTTTCTTTTCACGTCTGCCCTCCCAGCAGATTCCCTTGGCAGGTCACATTCCAACAGAAGCCCACGTTGCAAAGCCAACCTTGCCAAAAAAAATAACACACACCTGGCCCGATGCCCAGGAGTGCAGCAGGTCTGAGCCGCGGGTCCTTATCAGGGATGGTTGGAAAGGGCTTCCAGAGGACAGGATTTCCTCTCCTGCCAGACAACACACTCGGAGAACGAGCGGTCTGTGGAAAGAGGGCACAAACAGAAACAGGCGCTTGGAACAAACACACCAGGCAGGAATGTGGTCTGACCAGGGATGGAGAAGGGGGGGGGTCGTCTCTCCCAAGACTTAAACTTGAAGCTTTTCATTCCAGAAACCTGGCTGTGTCTTGAAGCAAAAGCTGGAAAATATTTTGCTCGGGCACACGTGATACTCCTGGTCCTCGTGCTGGAGTCCAGCCAGGCCTGCCGCCGTTGTTCCAGAGGGTCATCGGCGTGGAGGGAGGTCACTATAGCTCAGTGGTTCTCCACCTGTGGGTCGGGACCCCATTTGGGGTCGAACGACCATTTCACGGGGGTCGCCAAACAAGGCTGTCCGCCATTTTTTCCCCCTTTTCTTTGGCCACGCCCCTGGCACCCGGTGATGTATAAGTGGTTGGGGGTCACCACAACATGGGCAACTGTATTATGGGGTCGCGGCATTAGAAAGGTTGAGAACCACTGCTATAGCTCAACTGCCCCTCGAGGCTGAATTATGCACCAGGAGAGTCTCACTTTTTTTTGCTCATTTTCTGCCCCTGAAAACCAAGCATTCTAATTATCCTTTAGCCAACATTTCTCGGGGCCCTTTAGAGCAGTGGTTCTCAACGTTTGTGTGACGGCGACCCCCGTCACACAAACGTTCTGCGCATGCGCGGCGCCGCCCCGAGGGGAGAAAATGACAGATCGCCGCCTTTGGCGACCCCCGAAAAATGGTCGATCGACCCCAAATGGGGTCGCGACCCATAGGTTGAGAACCGCTGCTTTAGAGGCTTCTTCAATACATCAGGCCACCGTGAAGCTGCCCATGAAACATTTACAGCAAGTTTGGCGAGTTTTTTAAGATCTGTGGACTTCAATTCCCAGAATTCCCCAGCCAGTCCACAAGTCTTAAAAATGGCCAAGTTTGGAAAAAAAAACAAACCCCATCACGACAGCAACAAGAATAGCCTACTGCTATGGCTGTAATTGTGAAGTCCAATCTGATGCATTGGGATTGTCACTCTGAATAAGAGGTTATCCTGATTTATTCGGAGAAGTTTGCTTAGATATCTTTTCCCTGAATTGCTTTAAAAGCACAGCCAGTTCTTGCTGGCTCAGGAATTCTGGGGGTTGAAGTCCACAAGTCATAAAAGAGCCAAGGTTGCCTGCCCCTGGCCTAAGTAAAAGAATTGTTTTTGCTGGTTTTCAGAACTGAATCTCCACAGATGTTTGATGGCAAGCCAGGTCCTTTTTGAAACGAGAGACTTCCCGAATTGACTAGAGCAGAGTGGGGCCGTTTTGTACGTACGGGACCATCGTGGTTGAAAAGAGGCAAGATTGGCGCGGTGAATTGTACCAATCTATACAGGTAGTCCTCAACTTACAACTTAGTAACCATTCAAAGTTTCAATGGCGCTGGGAAAAATGGACTTATGACCGTTTTTCACACTTAACAACTGTTGCAGCATCTCCATGGCCATGTGATTTACATTTGGATGCTCGGCAACTGCACATATGTCGCCGTGTCCCGGGATCACGTGATCCCCTTTGGCGAGCTTCTGACAAGCAAAGTCAGTGGGAGAAGCCAGATTCTCTTAACAACTGTGTTGCTAACTTAACAACTTCAGTGATTCACTTAACTGTGGCAAGAAAGTTCGTAAAATGAGGCCAAACTCAAGAATTGTCTTGCTTAGCAACAGAAATTTTGAGTTCAATTGTGGTCATAAGTCGAGGACTACCTGTTATCAAGCTCTCTGCTGCTTAAAGTAGAGACTTGGTTTCTGCAGGCTCCCTTTGATGGCTGAATTGTTGTGTCTCGGCAATGACGGTCTTGCAATCCAAATTCTGTGGTAGGTGGAGGAGGTTGGAGAAGACTGCTCTGGTCAAACATTAAAGGCCGGGCTAGGGGAAGGCTTATATAAAAGATCAAAACTATATGTGAGCCCTCATGGCGCAGTGATTAGAATGCAGGATTGCAGGCTAACTCTGCCCGCTGCCAGCTGTTCGATCCTGACTGGCTCAAGGTTGGACACAGCCTTCCATCCTTCCGAGGTCGGTCAAATGAGGACCCAGATTGTTGGGGAGCAACGTGCTGGCCCTGTAAACCACTTAGACAGGGCTGTCAAGCACTATGAAGCGGTATATAAGTCTAAGTGCTATTGCTAGCCTTGCTTTTTCCCGCCCGTTTGCCCTCTTGCGTTGTCCTTGGCCGCTTCTGGCTTTATCCCGCTTAACTGTGGAAAACATCCTCCTTGCCGATGACCTGGGCTTGGCTGCCTGCCGGAGGGGATGTTGGCACAGCAAGGAAGCGTCAACCTGGTGCCGCCACCATCCAGAGTTGGAAAATAGGCTGTCCTTGTGCAGCTGCACTTCCTGTTTACAAGGCTGTTAAGCCTCAGTTAACTCTGTGGTGTCCAGCAGATTGCAGAGGATGAGCTGGACTGATAGGTAGGTAGGTTGGTGGGTAGATAGAGACAGACAGACAGACAGATAGATGATAGATATAGAAAGTAGATATAGATGAGAGATGATATAGAAAGAAGATAGATGATAGATATGATAGAGATAGAAAGTAGATGATAGAGATGATAGATGATATAGTAGATAGATGATAGATATAGAAGATAGATGATATATATTAGATAGATAGATAGATAGATAGATAGATAGATAGATAGATAGATAGATAGATAGATAGATAGATAGATAACCACCTTTGAATGGTGCAGGAGTATGAAAGGATTTCCAGAAAAAGAAAAAAAAATTGCACGCTACAGGATTCGG